AGCCCCTGGCACCAAGCACCCAAAAAAACACCTTTATTGACCAATAAATAAACTGCGGGGAGAGGAACAGCGCCCGGGGGGCGTGACGGGGACACCACGAGGGTCAGGGCCACGCTGGGGTCAGAGCCACCACCAGGCTCATTGTCACTCTCATGGTCACTGCCAAGGTCAGGGGCCACCACTAGGGTCAGAGCCACCATCACGGTCACTGCCGGTGTCAGGGGCCACCACCAGGGTTGGTGTAGTGGAGTCAGAGTCACCGTCATGGGCACCGCCAGGGTCAGGGCCACCACTGAGTCCTGGAGCCATCACCAGGGTTTGGACCGTCAACCAGTCACCACCAGGGCCAGCCCACTCATGTCCCCAGCGTGTCCCCAGTCACCGGGTGAGGAACTGGAGGTTGATGGTGGCTTCGGGGACCAGCAGGGTCCGGGTCATGGGAAGGACACGGGACCCACCAGGCTCTGGACGCACCTCGAAGTGCAGCAGGATCTGCCGGGGGAGGGAAGGGGTGAGTGACAGACCCCTGGGGACCCCCACAGAGGGTGCTACTGTGAGCCCAGGGGACAGCTGGGGACACTGGGGACAGTGAGTGTCACCTGTGCCAGCGCCTGGTGAAGCTCCAGCTCGGCCACACGTCGCCCCACGCAGCTGCGCTTGCCCAGGCCGAAGGGGAGGGAGGCAAAGGGGTGGGGGGGACCCCGGGGGGGGCCCTGGGGACATCCCTGGGGACTTGTCCCCCCCCGCAGCCACCGCTCCGGCATGAAGGAGTCAGGGGAGGGGAAGTAGCGGCTGTCCCGGGAGGTGACGTAATGACAGAGAGTGATGAGGGTCTGGGGACAAGGGGACATGGGTCAGGGGGGGCATGTGGGGACAGCAGGAACAGGGGGTCATGGGGATGGAGTGGGATGGGGGGACATAGGAGGGTGAGTGGGGATCAAAGGGGGACACAGTGGGGACAGGGAGGGGTCAGCAGGGTCATGAGGACACTGCAGGGGGGGGGCAGGGACCCAATGGGGGGAATACAGGGACACAGTGGGGATAGGGACA